AATCTCTGCCGCTATGCCCATCTTCCATGATTTCTCAAAGATTAATGAAAGTTGATCTCCAAGTTTCTTAGATGTAATTGATTCGTTCCTGGAAACCTAAACTTTTTCATGTTAGCCAGATGTTCTATAACTACCTTTACTTACCTTGAATGTCTCAAGAAACCTTTTCATTGCTTTAATTCTAGCTCAGATCATTTAAATGTCCTTGTCTGAATGTACACTCCTGGAATTAAAAATCTATGGCAGAATCATAAAGTTGTGAGGGGACACTTTTTCTTGCTCCTTCTTGCTGAAGGCACCTTAATATTCTGCAGCAAGATCAGCACTGGGCTTCTATATAGAAACTGATGAACTGATGAAGCAAATAAATAAGATCAAGGCTGACATCTACAGTAGGTGAAAGCAACTTGTTCCTGGGCCCATGGGATCTGTGGATTACGTGTGATGAGCCCAGATAATCCCAAGACTCCTGGGAAATATATCATCTTGGCTTGATAAAACAATACCTATTCCAATGATTGTTAATATTATTATAATATTATTCATAATATTATTCATAATAGTATTATGAATCATAATAATCAGCATCATGGTTCCCTCAATAACTTGTCTGTTTATGGTCTCTTCCACATCAGGGGCTGCTTTTTTCTGTATGAATATTGTGTTGGGAACCAAATTCTACATTCCCAAATTGCTAGAGTTCTTTGTATTTACTATCAGTATAACTAAGATTGAAAGCTCATCTCCAGATATCAAACTGCCGCCAGCAAACAAAAAAGAAGAAAAAGAGCAAGCCATTACTGGATTATTTTATACCCCAGATCTATTCCTCCATTTCTCAATTTACCCTCACTTGTTCACTTTTCTGGGCAATGGAGCAAAGTGTGCTGAGGCTGGCTAGTCTTCCTCTCATTCTTTCTATTTCAAAGAAGGATGAGCCCTTCCTGGCTGCATGGGCTCTTTGGCTGAGGAGTCTGTTGGTAGGTTACTCCTAAAACACTGAGTGTGACCTCCAACCAGACACCTCATCAGCTAACTCCTCAGCCACCTAGTCCTTGAACACTGCCTCATCCTAAGAGAGAGCCTTAACAACTCACATCTCTATGCAGACAGGTCTGACTAGAAAGTAGCCCATTTCACTGTTGAGCATATCAGGGAGCCATAAAAGTCTCATGTGAGTGTGGTTACAGAGAAATCCTCCCCTTCATCTCCACAAATAATATATACTGGGCAAGGAATGAAAGAAATGTCTCATCAAACCTCTCTAGTAGAGGAATCAGGCATTTCTGCTATGGGAGGAAACTGCTGTTGGAGACAGCTGAGATCCAAATTGATTCAACTGGGCCTTCATAGACCAAGCTCCTTCAAAGCTTGGTTTTTGTGAAGCAGGCCCACGCAAATATACCTAGCTCACTTGGATTAAGCAAAGCCATAATCCCTAATTTTAAGAAAGTTTCTTGCCTAAAAGCAGGATAGAAGATGTTATCAAGTTCAGATTTCCAAAAAAGTAGCCCAGCTTCCAGGTTAGGCTAGGCAAGGCATGAAGTACAAAAATGTTGGGCTATCACAAAACATAATCCCAGTGCTGTACTGCAATCGGGTAGATCCTTAAATTCAGGAAACTCCCAACTTCCAGCCAAGCATAGTTTTTAAGAGGCAGGCTGCTTAAGAGCCATGACTTACTCCTGAGTAGACCGTGGATCCTAAGGCACTTGCACCCACAACTGAGCACTCCCATATCTCTTTGCCTCTAGCTTTTCACATATAGGGCAGTATTTAGGCTCAGGGGTCCAGGAACAGTGGGAGATGAGTGTTAGGCCCAGCTTTTCAGGGTCATGTCTAACTGCCTTCCTCCTCCTCCTCCATAGATGATTCCTATGTTATGGGCATAACAGATTGATTGTGCAATTAGTGTTATCTTCATTAAGTAAAACCAAATAACACTCTTATAGCTGTGAAACCTTTTACTCTGGTTTTATATATCCTGAACCCATATTTATCTAGGTCAAGAGAGTTATTGGCCCCTTGAAAATTCAACTCCCTTCTCCTAATTTCAGTTATGAAATTCAGTTATGAAAACATTGATCATTCTAGTAGCTCTTTTCTGAATCGGGTCCAGCATCTCTATGTCCCTTTTAAAGTTCAATGCCAAGAACTGACACTGCATTCCTAGTGTGGGATACCAGGGCTGAGTATCATGGAACTATTACTTCTTGTGATCAAAATGCAATGCTTTGGGTTAAGGCACCCCAGGCTTATATCGATCATTTCTAGATGCTGCATCACGCTGCTTGCTTCAGTTCAGATGGTCTGCACTAGTACACCTATAGCCTTCTCATCTGCACTGCCAACCAAGCCAGGTCTTTCCAATCCTGTATCTAAGCATTTGATTTTCCTATTAGATGCCACACTTATACAACATCTTGTTGGTTCAGCCCAATAGCTAATCTACTGATTTTGAATTGTGATTTTGTAGTCTAAATACAGTGGTACCTCGGGATACGAACGCCTCTACTAACGAACATTTCGGGTTACGACCAGCTTCGGCAGGAAAAATTTATCTCGGGTTACGAACTCGCCTCGACTTACAAACCGGATCCGCGGCCATTTTCCCTGCTGCCATGTGGTCGCGGCTTCCTGTGGGCGAGGTTGCGGTAGCAAGGAGACGTTCAGTGAGGCTTGTGGTGTGTTTTGCGGTGTTTTGTGAAGGTTTTTGGTGTGCGTGTTAGCATGGCTCCAAAGAAAATGCAGAGCAGGCTTGGTGGGAGTAAGGCTCTGAAGAGAAAATTGCCTCGGGTTGTGACCAAATTCGCTACTAACGAACATTTCGGGTTACGACCAGCTTCGCCTAGTGGAGCTGCCAGTTGGCTAGTACAGTGGTACCTCGGGATACGAACGCCTCTACTAACGAACATTTCGGGTTACGACCAGCTTCGCCTAGTGGAGCTGCCAGTTGGCTAGTACAGTGGTACCTCGGGATACGAACGCCTCTACTAACGAACATTTCGGGTTACGACCAACTCGGGATACGTCCAGAGTCACGGAACGGATTAAGTTCGTATCCCGAGGTACCACTGTACTAGCCAACTGGCAGCTCCACTAGGTAGACTAGACCAGAAAATCAATTCTACAGGAAGGCTAAAACTACTTTTATTGAAATTGGCTATAATAACAGAACCTTGCAAGTCTGGTTGTGCTGTACCTCCCTTCCCCACTTCTTATACTCCAAAGAATCATGTTATCTTGTTTCTCAGGGCTCAAAAAATGTTTCGGCCTCCTTTGCCTAAGTAACAGTTCTTGCATATTTCCATCAAGGTCATCTCCCTTATTTTCTATACCACTCCCTATAGCTTGGTGTATTCCATTCCATTCCATTCCATTCCATTCCATTCCATTCCATTCCATTCCATTCCATTCCATTCCATTCCATTCCATTCCATTCCATTCCATTCCATTCCATTCCATTCCATTCCATTCCATTCCATTCCATTCCATTCCATTCCATTCCATTCCATTCCATTCCATTCCATTCCATTCCATTCCATTCCATTCCATTCCATTCCATTTATAAAGATGGCCCCACACAATAGTTCCCTCCAGGATGATGCAAAATCGTTTATAAGCATCCTTTGGTACAGAAGTTCAACCAGCTGCCAATTCACAGGACCATCTAGCCAACATTCTTCCATCCTTGACCTTATGAGAGACCTTGTCAAATGCTTTACTGAGGTCAAGGTACACTACAATGACAGCATTTCTTTGGTCCACTAATTAGTCTTAAAAAAAGATAGAGTTTGTCAATCCCATGCTGGTTCCTGGTATTGGCAGCGTTCTTTCCAAAATGTTCGCAGACCTGCTGCTTGACAATCTGTTTCAGTACAGACGTTAGCTTAAGCTCGAGGCCACGGAAGAGTCAATAGAGAACTGAACTAAATATGTTGCTTTAGACAAAAATACGTGATAGTTTCCCCCCCCCCTGTACAAGAACCCTGTTTAAATCAAGAAATGCAGACAATGTGTCAAACAGCAGGAAAAGTCATATTTTAATGATTAAAATGGAATATCATAGATCACTTCATTCCTACACAAGCTCCTTTTTCACTTGTTTCTCTAAGGACAAAAAGTTCTCAAGTGGGAAAAACCAAAAGTGGAATTTCCTGCTTTAAAAAAAAGAAAACAGCTGGAAATTCACTTCACAGTATATCGGATTTTGTATCCTCCATTGCTACTTACATGAATTTAATTTTTACAGCATCTGTTACTTGGTGAGCTTTGATATAGATTGTCAAGTAGAAACAACTCAAGAGAAAATATAAATAAAAGTAAATAATTTAAAGCTGTCTTTTCAAAAGCAATATATAGTGCATATGAATCAGATGAACTAGAAAAGGTATCTTTCACATTTTAGAATCAAATCAATACAAAAAATTATGTTTAGACCTTACACCAGGTAAATAATTATGTCTAAAATCCCTGGAGTATGACTGGTAATATAATGAAATTGATAAAGAGAACATTTTCAGTATCAAAATATAAAGCACATTTATATTCAAATGGAATAGTGACCTTTATAGTCATTGCATATAAAATCATGGAATAATTCCAAATAATGTTTTGAGTACATATTATAAACCCATGCTTCTCTTAAATACGAGTCCAAATTAACAGATGCTCAGATACGAAAACTCTATAAAAGCAGCCCAACCCTTCTCATGTATCACTCTCCCTGGGAAACACGTGCACTAAGGTTTTTTTTAAAATTATTATCATTATAAACAACTGGTTCTGCCTACTGCCGTGTTCTTTTTACCAAAACCACCTTGACTATTCATGCTTTGCACAGTACATTTTCTTAAACAGTTTAGTTGACTCTTCTTATTTGTTAAATCTCTTTGGAAGCACCGAGAAGGAAATTTAACACAATGTTCTTAAAGACCCTCTATTGGTTATAAAGCTTAAAAAAACAGAATTTAAATTAAATTAAAAAAAAAAACATGTACCTGTGGCCATGATAGTGTCATTCTTCCCTTGGGTAAACACAACAACTCGCTGTCTTTTAGGGTTTGCTTTTTTCAGGGCCTGTGTCTTTCGGGCTATCTCTTCAATGTCCTCAATCTTGGAAGAGCAAAAGGGAAGAAAAAGTCTTGAAAGCAGCAGCATAAGTTATCAAAGACAGATCATAAACTTTTCAACAGATTGTATAAAGATTATTTTTAGCTGAACATGAATATAGAGTACTGATGTCAGAATGAAATCACAGTTCGACCAGCTAGTTTGATTAGGACAAATTAATTTCCCCACGACCCAGATGATCACCTAACAAAAGAATGAGGAGAAACAGAGTGTTGGGTCTCCCCCCCCTCCCCCAGCAGCAGTGAGGAAACTGAGACCTTGATATGATTGCTGGGGCAGAGGTGAGATTAAAAGCCACCCCTGTTCCCTTAGCCATCTTTAGCAGGTTCCCAGGATATGAAGGAATGCAGACATGGTCTTAGGAAGGGGGAACGGAATGAGCAAACCGTTAAGGGGGGGCAGGTTACACAAAAGATTACTCAGTCCTGGGAAGAGGAAAGAACGAGAATGAAACCAGTTTCTCTCTGTTCCATCTTATACCAAACAAGATCAAAATCTGCCCCAAACAAAGTCAAGGGAGGGTTCTTTTCAGTTTCTTTCTCACACTTTCCTCTACACTGCTTCACACGGAAAGAACCTGAAGAGGTCTCCAAATATGATGAATCACCCTTCCACCATTTCAGGAGCAGCTCTTATCACCTGTCCCAACCTTTCCATTATCTAACAGTATGGACCCAGAAGAGAAGAATTCCATGGCTTCAGCTATTTCTCTGCAACACAGAAGACAAGAGGCTTCAAAAAGGGCCAACAGCTCTTCAAGAGTCAAGAGTCACAGGGACTCTGTAAGGACAGGAGCTAAATTACCTATCCGTCTCTCTATCCTTCCCTCCCTGGTTTATAGATCACTAAACTGACCTTAAGTGACTTATATTCCATGTAAAGAATGTAATTGTACTTAAGGTCTCTAGTGAACACAGATTGATGCTATAGAAATGGTTCTTGTAGGGAGAGCTAACTCAAACTTCTTGTAAAGGACTCTCCAAGGAGATGGATTCTGTCCAGGAACCTAGATCTGTTGAAGTCTCACCCACTATCTGTGAATATCAGTCAACACCAATTCTTTGGGGTCCTCAGACAGACATTACTAGGACAAAGCTATTCTGCCACTTGCTCTACCTATCTCCTTATCTCCCTTGCAAAATTTGGAAGTGGTCTTTTCTCATAGCAAATTCCTGAATTCAATTTACTGGTTGATTTTTTCCCCTTTCCTTTTAACTGTACTACCCAAATTCTAGAGAAGTGCTGAATAACTAGTGTTCCATACAGTATAAAAAGCTATGCCTACTTTTCTTATATTATGTTTCAGTTAAACAAAACTTCACCAGCAATAGCCCAAAACTCTTCAGGTGCAACTAAGTAAATAAAGGCTATCTGCAGCCATACGGACCTGCCCTGAAAAAAATACTTCCATAGGTTCTTCTCTGGATAGCTCCCTTTCCAAAGTCCCTTTCAGCAACAGCGATGCTCTCACAGAATCTTACTGTTCTGTGATTTGGTTATTCCTTTTAATCTAACCATTTAAATCTGAAATTTAAAAATTTAAATTTAGATTATTAAATCATCTAAAAATTTAAATCAGTATTTTTTACTCTACATTCCATTCAGAGTGACATTTTGCAGCAGATTACATTTCTGAATGTTTCCCCAACTGAAGAAGTTCTTTGCATATTGGAAAGAAAGTTCTTCCTTAGAAAATCCCCACATTATGGAAAAATAATTAGCTACAGAACCTTTTTTAATCTTTGAGAACGTTAGGAAAGATAGGTCCATGATTTATAACCAAATTGCTTTGCTTCAAAAAGTACTTCCTGGATGGATTGCCCATATAGTTTGGGGACTTCTTAAATAAAAAACATTTAGTCTTTAGACTAGGAAGAAGAGCTGTTATGTTAAGAATAGGCAGCATTAATTTCTTAGAGTTTCTTAGGCTTTAGGATCGCTATTAAAAAATCATTTGTATTGAACTGTATTATAGTTTCTGATAGTGTTCTCCCACAAATGTCACTTAAAACCCTTATTCCATCATGGTTTTCCTTTCAGTTTCTACTCTTTAATTCAGTCAATGGTGGTCAATTTTAATTAACTGAAGTTAAATAATTTAATTTAATGTTTAATTGTTGTTAATGCACTTTGCATATAACTTAATAAAGAAGAAAAAATATCAATGGACATTTATCAATGGACCAGAATCAAACACGGCAGATTTAGGATGTTAAGCAAAAATTATGTAGGAAAATATTTTAAAAAGTGCTAATGGAAGGTATTGTGCAGATATGGACAAAATGATGTTGTCATTCTGGGTGAATTCAAACCAGGTATGTTCCACATTTTCAACTCAAGGGAAAAACAAAAATATATACGACCTGCTCTTTTCCTTGATTAAATTATGTTTATGCTGAGCTATGTTATACAAAATATAATTGTACAAAATAAAGGTTTTCCCGCAGCCTTGATTTTATAAAGTATCCATCACAATTCAGAACAGACCATGAAATGACAAAGCATACAGTTTAAACACTTATGGTCAAGAACATGTTTTTGAGTTATCTTGAAGCAATCTAAACTGGGGACACACAAACACGCCAGATGTTCCTTCCTACCTCTCCTTTGTACTTGAACAAACCCAAATGAAAGGCA